TATATATATTCTGATTTTTGGTGGTAAATTGAAACTGATTGTACAGACCAGAATAGTTTTCTAATGACATGGTAGACTATTAGCATTGTAGACATATGAAAACCTTGAACAACTGTAATTTTTTGAATAATAATGCTATTTACTATTTTATAGTTTGGGATTAAATTATGTCCTCAGAGTATAATAAATTAATGTGCTGATATCACATGTGTTTAATACAGAATGCAACTCTAAATGTTTTTTTTTAAGTGTTAGTAATGTGTAGGAATGACTTTAATGGAAAAGACTCTTTGTAACAAGTCTTTACAAATTGAAATTTTAGAGAACCTTATAAACCAAATTAATCATATTTTGAGAACATTTAGAACTATGCACTCCTTTTAAGAAAACAATATAATCTATCCTATGATTATTTGGAATTTCAATATAACTAACTCATAAACTAAGATGAACACATAGCTTTAATCTCATACTACATTTCCTACTTGTGACTCACTTATGCCCCTGACTCGAAATAAAGTATGTATGAGATGTGACAGTGATGATGTTGAAAACAACAATGACATTACAAACAACATCTTGCCCATAGATGTTGCCATCATCACGAGGTCATAGGTTGATGACCTCTGTGTGTAGCTTTGTGTGCTGTTCTGAGTCAATCCGGTCAGAAAACAACTTCTTCCTTTGTACTCCTGTTATCAAAGACTGTTCATGCCTTTGTAATACCATGATTGATATGCTGTTCAATAAGTAAGAGAGGAGCCTTTTGTTAGAGAGTAGTAGAGTATGGCAGGAGCGACTAGATGAAGAACAGAAGAAAAGAGAAATCAGAACACCTCAGAACAAGATCAGGCACAATCTTGGTCAAACTCCAAGAGTGAAGTTTCTAAATAACACAACACTGCCACAGTAATGTAGTACTATGTTTAGAGATATTTGTGTCATATTATAAAGAGGTAGCAATATCCTCTTTGGATGCACTTCGTGTAGTTACTTCTGATGAGAATGACTTCAGTCAGTCTTATATTCAGGATCATAGAGAAAGTTTCACCTCATGATTTAATTTGAGAGAATTGGCAACTTTTAATGCCTTAGAGGAATGTTTCTGTATAGCAGTAAAAGAAACTGCAATGCCTGGGAGTCACCATGGTCTGATGATCTTTTCTTTTCTATTCCTAATTAGGTTCTGGGAAAAGTGACTTTTTCTCACCCACTGTGACAGTTATGAGATTCTTTTGCTCACATCACCCACAAGGAGGGCTTGGAATTCATGTTCCTAAGAGAGTTGCCAATTCTGCTACAGAAGATTAAGTGCCCCCATCACACACCCTGCAGCTAACAAGAAAGAGAGTAAATGTAGCAGGGCCCCATCCAGGAGGCTGCTATGATGGGGCCATCAACCCAGCCTTTCAGTCTCATGTAGTGTGCCAGCCAAGATATTCATCTAAAATGAACAAGACCATCAAAGGGCTATCTCATTGGATCTTGGCATACTGAAGTTTATGAACTCTTTTTGTGGCTCTAAATCAAGGATTTCTGGTTAGAGGCAGAGCTAGTTGGTTATTTGAGTCCACCTGTTTGCACCACGGAAGAGGGTTAAAGAGTCATTGCTTACCCGTGAAATTGATTTTCAGCAAATAATCCTTATACAACTTCTTTCCGTCCAGGATCTTCATGGCATCACAGAGCTTGGTCGTGTTAGGGCAGAGGGTGCGCTGCATTTTGTGCAACGCATGTGCCATTGCATACACTGCATTCACCACAAACATGATCTTAGATTCTTGCTCATAGTTGCTGCTGTCAATAGCCAGGTGCTTGTCACAAACTTGCCTGTGGTTTCTCTTGTTCTGGAGGCTGCACTGGAATTTCTGCTCCCAGAAGTCTCGGAACCAGGGGTTGCGGTGATTGTTGTAGGGGTTGAGGCTCTGGAAGTAGCGGTCGAACTGGCGGACAGGTTGTGATGCCAGCTCCAGGGTGATGGCCCCATAAGCTACATGTTCGCTGCCCTTGACGATGCTCTCCTGCGCGCCCCAGCCGTCGCTGGCCACCCAGGTGAAGGAGGCATTGACGCGGTTGGCTGCAGCGATCAGCTCTCGCGAGTCGTCACTGCGCATGAAGAGGACCACGACGCGAGCATTGGGCTTCTGCAGCAGTTCTCGGATCACGCTGTCATAGGACTTGCGGATATTGGAGCGACCCACCTTTTCCGCAGTGGCAATGCAGATGTTGCGAAGACGGGCTTCCTGCTCAAAGGCCTCGATCCCTGTCTCCCCGTAGTCACCTTCAGAGGCCACAGTGGACACATAAGTCCAGTTGAAGAAGCGTAAGATTTCGGCCATGGCTTTGGCCTGGTAGAAGTCAGGGGGCACTGTCCTGGCAAAATAATCATAGCGCGACTTGTCGCTGAGTTTGGCGCTGGTGGAGGCATAACTTATCTGAGGGATCTGGAAGAGTCTCAGTAGGTTTGCTACCTGAGCAGGGAGAAAGGAGAAGAACCTTTTGAAAAATGCAGAAGTAAATGACTGCACCTGACACACATCAACACCATCCGCATCTGTTATCAACCAAATTGCATTTCATCTGCAGGTCCCTTCTCGAGATCCTTGCCAGTTGTCTGCTTGGGTATCATATTTGAATATTAGGGAGCAGGTCCAAAGTGGATAGTGTATGTTTTGGGAAAAGGCATATTGCAAAATAAGAGGACAGCATTGGCTGGACCTTGTAGCATCTGCAGCTCCACCCTAGACTAGGAAAATCTGTTCAGATGCCCTTAAAGTGGTTGTTGCAAGTTCCCGAGGTCCTGCAATGGCTCAGCTAGACAATGAACTACAGTGAAATGGCCAAATTCGGTTTTCAGACAACTTGGCTGTGGTTGTATAGAAGGAGCCTGGGTGTTTAATTCTCACTTCCCCCTCTTTTGCTAAAAACAGCAGCTCTGAAAGAGTTTAATTTGGGAACCAAGTGCCACATGGACAGTCCAAATTAGACATTTATTATCTAGGTTAAGTGAAAGAAAAACTCAATTCTACTTAAATTCTGTTTGGTCCACTCAAAATGGTAGGTCTATACTTTGATAAACTTCTAAAAAACTTCAACTTTTTCTTTGCTTTCTTTTTTCTTAAAATTTGTGAAAGGAAAACATACAAATCTGCTCTTCTTGTGCTATTTTTTGATTAAAAAATCAAATGAAATATTGATGACACTGTCAAGAATGAAGGACCTACTTTGATATATTTAAAATTTTAAATTTAAATTTCTTGAGTAATCTACCATCATTTCACTGTTTTGATTTATTGTATAATATAAAGGAAAAATAATCCTAATTTTTCAAGGAGTACTGCACAGAATATTTAAATTATATATATATATAATTGTAAATATCAAAGCAGATTCTATGTATATCTAATAAGAAATCTGTATTCTTCCTGACTTCTGAAATGACTGTCTACTGACTTTAACTTATGTAATATTTTAAAGTGTTCTTTAATAAATAGCTTGGATACTTTAGTATACTCTGTGTATTGAAATAAGTATAGGTATCTTGAAATTTTCTTTCTAGAAATTGTGATTTCATGTTTACATTTGCATTCTGGTTAATTGTCATTTTATGTGGGAAAGAAAGCCAACAACCAAGTTTACACACAGCCACACAGCATGTTGTTGGAGATCTGGCCCATTATTAAAGCTAACACAATATAGCCAAGGACTATCAAAAATATTTTCAAATCTCAGTACCTCTCACTTAACTGCCAATAGAATGGCTGTGAAATCTGAGACTTGACACATCATATAATGGAAAAATTAGAGCCTCAAATGGAAGTGAATGGTTCAATGAATAGGTAGATGCATTTCTTCTTTTCTAAGGACCAGGAAACTCATGGCAGAATTGCCTGCCTATACTGACTCATCAGAGCACAACAATACTATTTGTTTACTTAGGTCAAGTGCAATGGCAGGTGGCCCTGAAATGTGACTGCCATTTCTCCTAGTACTCAGCTTCCCCTGGATTTATATGACACTTTGGCAGGCGTGATGATAGAATCCTTGTCTGTGGAGAGGCTCCACTATGAAGTGTCTAGGTAGAACCAGAGGCTATCTTTCCTTGATGCAATGATTTTCTCCTCTTCAAGTTAAAGTCATCAGAACTGGCACCCCTTAGGGAGACAGAAAATGAAAGGACCTAAAAAATACCCAGAGGCATTATTTCTTGGAAGCCAGGAACCTCAGTGCCTAAGCTGCTGAAATTTTCTTCTCCCAGAGGGTTTGGAGGTTCTCAAGAAACAAAGTTTTTCTCCTTTGAATGATAGATCTTCTGGCTTTCTATCTACCTCTCCAGAATATTGAGAACAACTTACAGTCAAGGTAGGCTGCATAAGAGAATGATTAGTCATAAAACTGTAGCAAAACGGAAGAAGTTCTTTGTACTGGGAATAGGCACAATGAGTTGCAGCCTACTTGGGAAGGCAGTGAGGTAGGATAAGATAGCAATTATTGCCATTATTTCATTAATGGTTGTACGTACCCCTGTGCATGTGAGTTTAAAGGGAGTACACCCAACTCTCAAAAAAGGAGGCATGGTTGGTGAGTTTAACCATAAGGATGGAACTTATTAAAGTACAAAAATGTCAATTGTATCATTTATATTGAATAACATGGCACAATAATAAAAGTTAAGTGATGCTATTCAGAGTTAAAGTATAAATACAATACAAATTAATAGGATAAAGTGTTGAAATACTTTATATAGTGAATTATTCTTTGAAAATTATTTTTCTTGGCTTATAAATGTAATAGTTCTGAATTTAAAAGTAAATACCACAGAATTCACATTATTTCTCTCTTTTCTTTCCCTCATTCTAATTTGATTTTTATAGCAATATTCATAATTTGTATGTTTTATGAATCTTTGTTCTTATAATATCAAATACCAATTTAACAAATATGTATGTTCTATATATGTATATCTACACATATATTTTATTCTTTGATATTCACAGTGTTTTTATGATAGATACTATTTTCTCCATTTTAATATGCAAAACTGAAGTGAAGAAGCTTGTTCATAGTTTTACAGTTAGATTGTGCAGGCAAATCAAAATGCACAACTATAGCTTTGACTTAAAATGCCATGGTCATCCCCTCATAGCTTCCTCTCTACCGCTATCTACTGTGTGACCATCAACTTGGGGCTTGAAATATAGAGACAACCAGGTAGGAAGAACAGGAGAAAGAACAGAAGCAGTGTTTGGCATATACCATAGACTCTCTAGCTATCAGTAGG